TCCCATCCCATCCCATCCCATCCCATCCCATCCCATCCCATCCCATCCCATCCCATCCCATCCCATCCCATCCCATCCCATCCCTCCTCAACCTTTCCACGAAGGCAATGCCTGCATCCCCCCCTCATCCCTTCTCTGCCCCCCAAGACCTATGAGAGCGGTTGGGGTCCCTCAGCACCCCAAGAGCTTCAATAGGAGCCAGATGGCTGGGACCTTTTGTCCCCTGTGGGACCCTTGGCACCCCAAATCTGCATCACTCCCTTCATGGCAAGGACTGAGCACCGTGGCCACGGTGGTGGCAGCGGGTCCTGGGCATCGCTGTGGCCATTTACCACATCCTAGGGCACCAAACCAGTGGGGTGATCCCCAGGCTGATCCCTGCACCCCAAACCCTCCCAGCCCAGGGGAGGAAAGGCAGGAGAAGCCCCCGGGGATTTCTGGCAGCCAGCTGTGGGAACGTCCCTCCCGAACTTGCCGGTGTTGTTCGGCGCAATGCAAAAATCACATGTCCCGCGGCAGCGGCAGCGCTGCTCGCTCCTCAGGAGCCGTCCCCCGGGGACGGGGGCTTGGACGCTGTTTTTTCTGGCGTTCAGACATTTTGGGTAATGTTTGCGTTGCTCTGGGACCACGGGGAACGGATCCCAGCTGGAAGAGGAGAGGGATCCGGGCAGAAGATGCATCCCCTGCGCTGATAAGGAATTTTCCACATCTTTGAAAGGAATCTGTAGGTTTAGGCACATGGGAAGGATCTGAGCGGCCTTTCCTGCAATATAGGGGAGGTAGCCAACGAGTTTCTGTCCTGATTTCAGTTCTGGAAATAGCACAACTCCACGAAACCTTTCGGCTTGGGGAGGTTCAAAGGAAACAGCGCTGGCGGCAGCAGCTCCTCCGCAGGGCTCACGGCCGGCGCCACCTCCTGAGCCTGAGCGGGGTGGAAGAGGAGATCCCGTGCTGTAGGGTGGTGATGGGGCTGGGGTCTGCAAGTGTCTGAGCAGGGGAAAAGCCCTGCTACCAAAATCAAGAGCTGCCCAGCCAGCTGAGGGAGATGCAAGTGGCAGCTGGAAGCTGAAGCCGGAGGATTTCAAAATAGAAATAGAGGGCAGATTTCTAAGGGCAGAAACACAAAATTTGGGAGCAGCAGCCGTGGGGATGGGACCTTCCTGAGGGGCTGTCCACGCATACTTATCCTGAAATACTTATCCCCTCCGTAGTATTTCCCCCAAGATTGATCAGAAAGTGATCACACCATCCTGGGGGGCCCATTAGGAGACGAGATTTCAGCCCCTCGTTCATCTTTTGTAGCAAAGCAAGACTTGCAGAGGCCACGTTTTTCTTTTTATGCTTTCCTCCTTTTTTTTTTCTTCTTTTCTTTTCTCTTCTGGGAAGCTGTGGTTCTGCCAACTCTTTGCCCCGGAGCGAGCTGTCATCGCTGCCTGCACCGCAGCGCTCACACCCCCGGCTCCTCCTCTCCGGGCACGGCTCAGCAAGCACCATCCTGCCCCGACACGGGCCGCTTCGAGTGAAAAGAGGAGCTCTTCCTACAGCTCCCGGCTCGCTCGAGGGCTGGCCACGGAGGCCAAAGGGGTTTTGCAGTCCTCTGACTTACGGCAGTGGAAATATTTAACCCCCTTCCGCGCTGCTCGTGATGCTGAGCCTGCTGGAAAGGGTGCGCAGGAATAGCTCTTGGCTGGTGGCCTGGTCCGATAACGCTCAAGGGGCTCCCTGGGGATTAAAATAGGTCCTGCACGTGGTGGGGGAGATACGGCGGCGAGGAGGCAAAGGGCCTGGGATGGGGTGCAGGCAGGGCCAGCGAGCCGGCAGACCTCTGCTCTACCCCACTGTCGTGCCAAGGGCACCACTGGCGGAGAGCTCGACGGGTTTTGGCACTTCGGGACTTGTTTTCCCTTCCATCGGGTGATGTCTCAGCAGTTTCTCCTGCCAGGTTCAGGCTGGTGCCGGGAAAGCACAAAAAAACCCCTGTGAGCATCCTCCTGGCTCCCAGCAATAGGGACCTGTGCGCCCCAGCTCCCCAGCCCCGCTGCCAACCCCCTGTAAAATGGGCTGCAGGGCTGAGATGTGCCTGGTGGGAAGCGTCAGTCCCCGGGGAAGCAGCCGTCCCTCCGTCCGTCCCGCAGGGCCGGGTGCTTCCCAGCAAAATCTGGGAGTCCCGTGAATCGGTGGCAAGCTCAGCTTCTGTAGGCAAAAACGAGCCTTTGCAGTGTAAAAAAGAGCTTGAAAATGTGGCCGGTGCATGACCTTCCCACTCCAGATCCCAAACAAAAACGAAGGGACTTCATACTTGGAATTGTCTCCCGGGAATTCTCTCTAAGCGGTGTCACAGCTGTTGAGCATCTGCTGCAAGTCCCGAGCGCTGCTGGGGATCAACGCCCTGTGAGGCCCCCAGACGGCTTCCTGGGGCCGTGCACCCCATCAGACGGCATTAAAATAGGGGACGAGCCCGGGAACAGCCCCGTGTCCTCAGCAAAGTCCCACCAGGGCCCTGTGTCACACGGGGACAGGTGACCCTGGGGCAGGCGCTATGGGCGAGCATCAATCTGCAGCACCTCGGCACGATGGAGGCACCCTTGGAAAAGTTTCGGTCATTTCCCTTTGTTAGCTTCTTCTTTTTCTCCCTGTGCCAGCCTGTCCGGACCCACCAGACCATGGCATTTGGGGTCATCCTAATTAATATCTCACGGAGACGTCATTCCGCCGAGCACACAGCCCTGTGCTGCTGGCACCGGCCACGCTCCTGATTAACTTCCCTAATTAAGAGGCCCCTTTCCATGATCAGAAGGCCTCTGGGCTAGCTCCCAGAATTGAAGAGGCAGAGAAAACCTCAACATCTCCTGCGCTGAGCGCCCACGATGGCAGCTCGGGGCTGCTCTTCCCGCAGGAAAGCGAGGCAGGAAGGGATCCGCAGAGAAGCGGTGGGAGGAGAGGAGCTCCCCACGCCCCAACTCGCCTCCTGGGTGCTGCTCCGGCACGCCAAGCCCGCTGTGCATCCCCTCCCATGGCAGACCAGGTTTGGACCTGTCCCCGCAAGCCACGCCGTGCCTGTGTCACCTCTTTGCCCTCCCTTGTCCCACCTCGCTGTCTCTGCGGGCATTTGCCCAGAGTGGCCTCATCCAACGCTTCCTCCGGCTTATCACGCCCCATCGCATCGCTTGGTTTTCTCCTTCCAAACCCCAGCAAGAGCCTGGAAGACCTTGGACAACCTGCTGGGAACCTGATGTTCACCACAAAACTGCATTTCATGGTTTTTGAAGGAGCCTCCAACACAAGCCCCAGCCCGGTTTCCGGAGGGCGACCTGGAAAGGGCGAGCAGCTGACGCCACGTCCGCCGCGAGCGGGCTCTGCAAAGCCACCTGCAACAGCCAGCGACCACATTTGCTCATTCAATATTTGCAGCCTTTGCCAAAGCCCTGAGAAATTTTCCTCGGGCTGGCAGGAGAGCTCTTACCCACCTCCCTTTGGCGCGCTCCCAGCCATGCGGCTCATTTTTGGCACAATCTGGGCTTTTTTAGGGGCGCTGCTAAGATTAGGTATGCCGGGGCGCAAATCCGGGGAGGGAGAGCAAACTGCCAATTCACTTAGGAAAAGGAGTGGTTTTTAATCGCAGTGTTTGGGGGATTTGCATACAATTAGGCCGGGACTTGCCCGCATTTGCTTCCGCATTTCACTCCCGTGATGAACCTGCCGGTTTTCCTGCTCTGCTCCCAGCCAGGGGCTGATTGCAAGGACGTTCACCCTGGGACACCGGGGGGCTCGGGGGCTTGGGGCTCCCCGGGGATGCCCCGGCTGCTCCCAGCACCTCGCAGAGCCCAGTGCTGGCTGTGATAACCAGGGGATCCCCTGGGTGCTGCCCTGCTCCATGATCCATGTGCAGGGGGACCCTTTGGGGCTGGATGGGGCCGTGCACCAGGCGGGTCTGCCCCACATCACCTCTGGCTGCAGGCTGAGCCCCGCAGTGGGATAACGGCTTCCTCCCGGCGGCAGAGGATGTGCGAGGAGAGATGCGCAGCGAGACGCAGCCTCCCATAAATAGCACAGTGTTTATGTGAACTCGCCATCCCCGGTTTATTTTTCTCCCTGCAGAGCAAACAGATCTTTTAAATCCGTATAAGCTCTCCTTGCCCTGCCGCTGGCACAGATAAAGTGTCAGAGGTGGCACATCACCGTGGTCCCCGGATGGCCACCGAGTGCTTGACCCCAAACCTGGGCCAGCTGCCCCGTTGGTGGTGGTGAGGGAGAAGCCCCTGGGCCACCAGCTGATGGAGGGGTCCAGCACTGGGTTCGTGATGTCCCCACAGCCGTCCCCAACCCCACCTGGGCTCTGCAGGCTCGGATGGAGGAGAAGGTCATGGGTCAGCCCCGAGGGACAGCTCCAGGCATGGGGACACCTCTCACCAAGGTAGAGCAGAGCAGCAGGGGACACATCCAGCCCCACGTCCCACCAGAGGAGGGACAAAGGATGGGGAGAGGCTCAGGATGGGTTTGGGGACAGTCCCACTGCCCCGAACACGAGCTCACAGCCGGTCCCAGTCCCTGCAGCACTCTGATAAACCAGCCCAGCTCGCTTGCCCTCTGCCCTTCCCACTGTCGGGAGGGTGCGCAGCCCCCAGCACCCTTGGGTGCCCCTCTGAGGGTGCCCTGGGACTCAGCCCCGAGCCCCCCCCAGCGCTGATTCGGGGTGAGCCTGGGGGCAGCTCGGGCACCCCCTGCGGCTCCCGGTGCCATCCTGGTGCCGAGCCCGGCGGCTCCCGGCTCTCTCCGGGCCGGCTCCGGGCTTCTCCCCCCCGCCTCCAGCTCCGGCTCCGGCGCCTCCCCCGGCTCCGGAGGCTGCGAGCGGGACCGAGGCGGCTCGGAGCCGGGCTCCGCTTCTGAACCCGTTCCCCCACCCCCGCCACTCCCCCCCCCCCCAGCCCCAGCAGCCCCAGATCGGCTCGGTCCCTCCTTAAAACCCCTCGGGAACCCCCCCTGTGATGCTCGGTGCCGGCCGGGAGCCGAGCGGGGCCGGGCACCGGAGCCGAGGCGGAGCGGGGCGGGCGGCCCCGAGCATCCCTCCCGCCGCCCCCAGCATGGCCCCCGCCCTGCCCGGTGGCTGAGCACCTCCGCGCTGTCTCTGGGGTCGGGGAAAAGCCCCAAAGAAGCCCCCCCCCAGGCCGCCGGACACGGTGAGGAGCCGCTGCGGAGCTCCCGGGGGGGACGCGGCTGCGGGGCGCAGCGGCCGGCGGCGGGGCCGGCTCCGGGGGGGTCGCTTCGGCCGCACGCTTCTGGCAAACGGCCCCGAGGGGCGGCCCCGAGGGGGCGGCCGAGCCCCCGAGGCTCCCCCCTGGCCGCTCGGCTCAGCCCCGGGCTGCGGGGAGGGGAGCAGGGGGGGCCGGGGAAGGACGAGCCCAGGGGGCCGGGTTGGAGAGGGGGGGGGGGGCCGGAGCGCCGGGGGCCGGCACAAGCGGAGGTTGTGGTTTGTTTGTTTGTTGTTTGCTTATTTTTTTTTTTTGCTTTTTTTCTTTCATTTCCCACCTCCCCCCCCACGTCTCCCCCCCCCCTCCCCGCCGCACAGGCTCCGTCCCGGCTCGCAGCGCCGCCGAGGATGCCAGTCGCTGATCGCCTCCCTCTGCCTTTGCAGGTGACCGAGGGACCCCAAAAAGAGCCGGGAGGGGACGGGAGCATCATGGCACACCCCGTCTCGGCTTTCCAGGCTGCCTACATCTCCATCGAAGTCCTCATCGCCTTGGTGTCCGTGCCGGGGAATATCCTGGTCATCTGGGCTGTGAAGATGAACCAGGCGCTGCGGGACGCCACTTTCTGCTTCATCGTCTCGCTGGCGGTGGCTGACGTGGCCGTGGGGGCTCTGGTCATCCCCCTGGCCATCATCATCAACATCGGACCGCAGACGGAGTTTTACAGCTGCCTCATGGTGGCCTGTCCCGTCCTCATCCTCACTGAGAGCTCCATCCTGGCGCTCCTGGCCATCGCCGTGGATCGGTACCTGCGGGTGAAGATCCCCGTCAGGTAGGACAGCGTGTTGGGAACGGGGCCGGGGTGGCTGCTGGGGAGGTTCAGAGGCAGGGAGGATGCCCCAGGCTCTCCGAGAAGCAGCAGTGCCAGTTTGGCTGCAGCAGTGATCGGGATGGGCTTGGCCACGGGGGTCCCACAGCCTCCAGTTGTTCTGTTTCGGGGGTGCTGGGGGTGGTCGTGGGGTCCCCACATCCCACCCTGTGAGCTGCCCATGACAGACAGCTCTATCCTCAGCCCAGGTTTCTCCTGGCAAGGTGGGGACCAGGACCCTGGCACTGACAACCTCAGGGACCTGTGGGACGTGGCTCTGGGGCTTGCAGGGACAGTGGTGACAGCCCGGCACGTCACTTCAGGCAGGCTCAGCTCTCGGCAGTGAGCCCTGGCTATGGGGCTGCCCCACGGATGACTCCTCTCCACGTGTCTTTCCCCTTCTCATCACCTGTATCTGCTGGGAAAGCCGAGCCCACAGCAAATACCTGGGGGACGCACTTTGTTTTAACTCCGTTGCTCCAGGAGTGAATATTTAACTGCTTTGTGGCCAGCTCCCTGCCCTCCGGTGCGGGGCTGGGGAGCTGTGGTGGGACCGGTGGTGTCTGGGGGCTGGATGGGATGTGACAGCCACGTTGGGGCCACTTGACGGTGCACAGCCCCGTGTAAACACAAAGACCCCCCCAAAAGACACCAAACCTCCTTGTGCTGGGTGCTGCCAGCAGGAGCAAAACCCTTCCCAGGGCAGGAATTGCTTTTCTGGGGCAGGAGGCAACTGCGCCGGGACCAAGTGGCTGCTCAGGAGTGCTCGTAGTGCTCAGATCCACTGGATCCACAAGGATCTGTTGCTTTGGTGTTGTTTTTTTTCCATCCATCTGGGGCTGAGAGAGGCTGCTCAGGAAAGGAGCGTAATCCAGAGGGGTGGCACAGGATAAAAACACGGCCCCTGCTCACCCCCTCCCCGCCGCACGCAGTTTCGCAGGCGGCTCCCGACTTCCTCCCCAAGTGTGATTTTTCCCAGCCTGAAAAATCCTCATCTCCCAGCCCGACGGCGTACCAAAGCGATTCGCACCCTGTCACCACTTTCAGTGTTTTTTTTTTCGGTACTTCTGCATCCCTGGCGCAGTGGGGACAGGTTCAGGTGTGGGAGGACTGTGGGTTTATACATAGCAACGCTGCCGAGCTCGTCTGTCTCTTCTTCCTACCAAATTCAGCCTCTTTCCTCCTTCACTCCCCCTGAGCATGCAATGGGCCTTTGGGGGGAGATTTCTGCTCTGACTCCAGGCACTTTCCTGAGAGCAACACTAAGTTAAAGTCCTCGTACCGCGTATAGCTCGGGCAGGCTTTTCTCATGCAATATTAACCCTGTGTTTTGTCAGCCTGTTTCGTGCTCTACCACTCAGCACAGTGAAATTTTGCTACGGTTCACACCCTTCTTTAATATTGAATAACTTCATGGCCTCGCCAAGAAGTGTTCAGCTGCGCCAGCTCTCCCGTTCGCTCGTCCCTGGACGTTTCCTGGACGTTTCCTTTCGTGCCTATCACGAATTGCTGGCAGTTGGCAAATGCAGTTGATGTGGGTGATTTTGTGCCCTAGACAGAGCAGCGAAATATTAGAAATGACAAACAGGACAGAAAATGCTGCTAAAGAGTTTTTCCTGAATCTGAAATGCCCAAATTTCTCCCAAGTTCTTGCTAGATGTTAAAAAAAAAAAAAAAGGTACTGAAAGATTTTGATGGCACTGACAGCTGCTGTCTAGCAGAGCTCCCTCTCAGCCCACCACCTTCACATTTCGGGCTCCATGGCCATGTCTCCACGGAGGGGACCGATGGGGGAAGCAGGACAAGGATATTCTCCATCCTTGTGCCATCACCATTCCGGGGTCCCCTGGGGGTGCCGCTTGCATTTTGGGAGCCCTGAAGGAAAGCGCAAAGGTTCCCAAGTCCCCGTCACGTACTGGCCACCTGGGCTGAGCAGACAACAGGGCTGTTGGCTGCGGAGAGTTGTCTGAAGGAGAAGCAAAGTCACCGCTGGGCTTCCCGGGCTTTCTATTTAATTAGGTAGCTGGGGCCGGAGGCGCAGCTTGGCAGGGAGGGGGAACACGGTGCAGCGCAGCCCGGTTCCAGCTCCTGGCTACCCACACACACCCGGCCCCGGAGCCACAAGGGTTGTGCTTTCATCCAGCAAAAGTGGACCCGTCCGCTCCCCACACACCCCACAGACAGCAAGCACTGAGGGACAAGGGAGCTTTGGTGCCCTGGAGGTGGGTGTCTGATGGTGTGGCTGAGTCTTGAGCAAATCATGCCCCAGGATGTTTGTAATGGGGCAGTGGGTGATGCCCGAGCACCCACAGAGCTTCTGCTCCATTTCAGGAGTCCTCCTTGTTCCCGTGGCCCTGCTCCCCATTGACACAGGGACATTGAGGAGTTTGGGTCATCTGTGCAAAGCAGAGGCGGATTTGGGGGATGGAGAGGCTGCTGGCTCCTGCTCTTGGAGGCAAACCTTATGCTCTCCCAGTGCCCTGTGCCCCCAATGTGGTTAGGATCGGGGTTATCCCACCAAGCCCTCTGCCTCTGCCCCAAGCCCCTGGGTGACATCCCTCCTTCCTGCTGGGGTCCAGAGCAGGCTGCATCCCCCAGTGCACCTTTCCTCGACTATGTGTGGATGCAGAAGCATTGCTCGAGTTGAGCAGAGGGTCCCAAGCTCCCAGCCCCAACAGGAGCCTCTCCAAACAGCTGGAAACCACCTAAAATAGGCTCGCTGCCTTCATGCTGGTGGAAAACCTCACATCTCCCCTCTCGCATCCTTCCTCCCCTCCCGGCGGTGAAGCGGCACCCGCGGCGTGCTGCCTCCCCTCGCCGGGCACAGCGGGGTCCCCGTCCCAGACCATGTTTTCCCCTCGCAGCCACACTCAGGGAAGATGAAACGAGTTCAAAGGGAGGGGAAGCAGCCGGCCGGGGGCGTCCGGCAGGAACCGGCCCCCGGCATCCCCGCGGCGGTGGCCAGAGGCAGGATGCAGGAGGGGACGGTGCCGGAGGGATGTCTGCAGGGGGATGGAGCTCCTTTAGCGCCCAGCTCTGCTCTGAGGCTGATTGAGGGTTCTCTGCTCTGCCCTGAGGTGCTGTGTGGGGTTTTTTTTGGAGAGGGCTGGGGCAGGAGGAGCTGGAGGTCTTGGGATGTGCTGAACTGCAGCCCCCTTGACCAGGGAAGCTGGAGGCAGGGACACAGCCTGGTTCCATCCCAGGGCTTCTTGCTTCTCTTGGACCACCAGCTCTTTCCTCAAATGGCTTGAAACACATGCCAGAAAGACAAAACCAGGGAAAATTTGCTGGGAGAGAGAGCCCTTGCACATGGGGGGCCACCACCCTCCTTGCCCAGACCCCAACACCCAGGTGTTGGGGGCACCCTGAGGAGCATCCCACCAGCGCAAGCCGCATGTGCATTTCTGCAGGGTTTGAGCACATGTGTGAGGCTGCAGAGCTGTGAAAATTAGATCAAACCAGGCTGGAAATTGCTCGGAAATGAGAGGCAAGGGCAGAGATGGGAAGCTGCGACACAGCACGGGGAGAGCCCAGGGTGGAGCAGGGTCTGCGGGTGACTCTGGGGACAGTGCTGGCACCCTGCGCTGCTGCAGAAATGCCCTGAGCCCTAGGAGATAAAACAGCTCAGGGAAAACAGGAGCATCTGGGCCTGGAGCACAGCTCCTGCAAGCGAGGAGGACTTGCAGGTGACCTGCGAGCCTTTGGATGGAGCTGGCGGTGCAAAGGGGGAGCTTCCTCCCACTTGACCCTAGGTTTTCCAGGCTCCTGCCTGAGCTCCGGCTCGTGTCAGGATTGCAGTGCTCTTTCCCCTTCTCCCCGGGCCTGCCAAGAGCCACAGGCGTGGGGCCAGCTGGGGCTGGGTCACAGGGAAGCTGGGGAAGGCGCCGTCACCCTCGGCCAGCTGGGGCGCGGAGCAGGGAGCGTGGCCGAGCTGCTTTCCCTTCTTCCCCCCACTGGGAGTTCATGGGGGATCCTGGCAGGATGGCTGGGGGCACCCTGCTGCCAGTGGGAGAGGGGGAGAGGGAGGCATCGAACCTTGCTTTGTCCCAAATTCCCGGGAAATGGGAGCACCAAAGCACCTAAGGAAGGCAGAAAATATTTTTCAGTGCTCCCAGCTCTTAACGCTGGTAAGTCTCACCGGATATTTGGGCTCTGGGGGGCAGCAGAAGTGCCCAGGGTGCAGACGGAGAGGTTCTGTGCCAGGCTGGGGTGTGCGGTGGCCCCAGTCCCTGCGGGACCTGCTCCCCTGGAGATGATGCCCGTGGAAAGGGGAGTTATCAAACCTCAGAAGCAATATTTCAGACTGTTGTAAGGATATCAGACCAGAGCAATGGGTTGAAATTAAGATAAAGAAACGTATGCTTCATCTGAGGGCAATCTGCTACCGAGCTGATGTGTCCCACGTGTCCCTGGGGAGGTGAGGGTGACCGGAGATGGCTCCAACCAGCCTGGACAAAGCAGCAGAGGATATGTGAGGGCAATGGTGAGTGATCCTGCCCAGCCAAGCAAGTGAGTAAACCAAACCGTGGCTCATCCGAGGCTTATTTTTAAATTTGGAGGAAAGGTTTCAAAAGCATCCAGGTGACTCAGAGCGGGAGCGGGAGCTTGGAGAGCTGCAGGGGGGCTCTCGTGCCCGGGAGTTCATCGAGGTTTCTTTCATTATGTTAGTCAACGAAAAGGCACCATCCATCTTCACAAAAGCAGGCTGCATTTCTAAGGAAAACACTCCCATTTTCCTAAACCAGAGAAGTTTGGGGGACTGGCAGATCTGTGCAGCCACCTCTTTCTCAGAGCAGTTTTGTTCCAGCCCTTGCTGCCTTCTGCCAAGCTTATTTTTAGCAGACGAGGGTGACCTGCAGCAAGCTTCATGCGCAGGGAGCAGGTAGATCAGAACCAAGGGTGGAGGAGAAAAGGCAGAAAACACAGCCTGGGAGGGGCTGCTGGAGACCTGGGGCTGTTTCCAA